CGGGCGAAGACGTGAGCAATAGCCAGTTATTCTTAAATACACATTGAATTTTTCCAAAACTATACTAAAAACATCAAGAGGACAAAATTTACTTAAAGAAAGATTATTTGTTATTCGCTATATTATTTTACTCGTAAATTTTCTCACAAAAATCAGCAAATTGGTCATTCCATAAAACAAGTGTGAATTTAAAAAAAAAGTTTAAATAGTTGAACGTTTCATTTCGAGTTTATAATTCATCCGATTGCTTATAAAATCTGACATATAAAACAAAAAAATGCGCACGAAACATTCCTCCCGGATTGCATCAATGGGCTGTAATGACTTTCAAAAATCATTTTTCAACGAACGAACCAGTTACGATAAGTAGCCGCATTTTAAACCGAGATTTTAATGAGTTATTCCGTCTGGAATCTCGCAATCCATACAAGGGAAATCCAGATTTATCTTAAAAAACTGTAATAAATAATGTAATGCCGTATTAGATACTGTATTTGTATCACATTATTATGTAAGTGTTTTACGTTACTTTTATTGAAATGTGATTACAAAAATACTAATCAATTTTTAACCAAGGTCGAAGTTTTTTAAAGATTGTCTCTGCTAGTATGATTTTTTGACTATAGCAGGCTATTGAAAAAGAAAGCTGATGGAAATGTAAATAATTAAATTGTTGCTTTGAAGATATTTCGAAAGAAATAATCACAGTTTTTCAAAGTTTTTTTGGATGGAAGAACGAATATAATACTGTTACATTTCGATTGTAGAGATAGGTACTTCAATTCTTTTTTACCGTAAGTATGATCAATATTGCTTGTATAACGTCGTAGGCGTTGAATACGAACAATACGCATAAATTATACACTTCAAAATCAAAACTTCACAATACGAGAGCATTTAACATAATTTCGAATATATTTTCCTCAACACCTCTTGTTATCGAAATTCTTTAATACTTTCTACAGAGCGTATGTACATCTTGAGGGCCCGCAATAATTGGGAACGCAAACATTTTTTTGTTATTCAAAAATCGAATACTGGGAAATAACTGCATTCTGTGAATATAAAGTCGAAAGCTTACGAAGAATGCAGTTTGGCAAACACAAGTGAGAACTATGTCGTGTAAAGCGTAGAACGTCGATGGAAATAGTCTTGTCGAATTTAGTTTAATGTAGTATTAATAATTGAAATCTGTTGATCGCAAATAACTTTTGTTAAAATTGGCGCATCACTAGATTATCGACATACACGTCACGTCCCTATGACATCTGTCAATGTCATTCAGAACCGTTTCGGATAAGCGCCATTCGCGCCAGAGTAATTAAGTGGTTATAATTATATTATTGTCTATAACTGTAACAAAAGTAAAAAATACAACCAATCGTACTATTTTAATAAAACATCGTAGAGGTTAGGATCCTCTAAATGCTTGTAACGTTTCGTTAATGAAAATATTTACTGAAAGTCCATATTTCAATATTAGTTTGTATAGTAACTAGAGTATATAACAGTGGTATTAGAGATCAGAGAGTTGCAGTCGGTCGCATGCACAATCTGTGCAGACACATCGCATCGTCCGATGTCGATGTGTCAAGTCCGCTTAGCGAGTTTTTGCGAGCCCGCACTGAATTGTCAGTGCAGAATGTAATTCCACTTTGCACTAGCAAATAGAACTTGATTTATTTTTATAAGATTGATGGTCATTTTTTTTGTTTCCTTTACGTTTGTCACCTTAACTGTACTCAGTAAATCTACAACTAGTAAAGAAGGAAGTACGGAATCTTACTAATATTGCGAAAATTGGATGTATGGAAGGATGGCTGGATTTTTGTAAGATTTTGTCGCCTTAACTGCTGAACGGATCTCGATGAAATTTGATATAGATGTAAAAGATAGTCTGGAATAACACATAGGCTACTTACTTATGTTTTTTTTATTCCACGCGGACGGAGTCGCAGGCGAAAGGTAGTCTTTAATAAACATGTTCTTTAAAAATTTATTATATTATTCCAAACAATCTGATACGTTGTATTTTTTGCATATAAATTTTATGTTTCTTGATTCTATAAAGCAGTGCCAATAGGAAGGAATCTAGACCCGTCGTGCAGTCGTCAACTGGCCATTGACCCGGGTTTTCAATTCCGCCTTGTCTGACACTCCTCGGCTCCTTTGACAACCAGATAACACTGAAATTGCCTGTTTTGCTAATACATATTAAGTACTTGTTACTATAAAACTGTTTCATTCCTTTCTTACGGTTTAATTAACCGAGTTTAATTTCGTATTTTGATAAGATAAACAAACTTTTTTTGTTTTTAATTGATCGTGTAACGAAACAAATGAATGTAAATGATTTATTACACATGAAGTATGTGTAATAAACTGAAGCATGTAATAGTAGCTATGGGGAGGCTGAAAACCAGTGTGGCCTTCAGTGAGAATGTTCAGGGCGCATCATCTGAGCCTACAAAAGGCTACAAATCTAATCTTGGCCATTTTTTTTGACCGACTTCCCAAAAGAAGGAGGTACTGTACAATTCGTCGTATATTTTTTTTTGTATTTCATTTATATGTTTTGATTTTTGGTCAATAAATAGTGCTTTTTATTTTATTATTTCATGTAAATAAGAGTGTATCTCACATGTTTTAAAGGTTAAGTTTGGGTACAAACAATAAGCCCGCCGAGGCCGTTTTATAGGAAAATAATGGCTTTTTAATAGATACCTAAATGAAATTGATACGCCGTATAATAGATTCGCCCTTTTCAATAACGATTGAGATAAATTGCTAAATAAATATTCTCGGACGAAAATTATTCTTTAACGTCACTATGAAAAGCTAGCGATTTTCTCGGAAGCGGTTAAAAGTCTAGATTACATTTACAATTCTAAACCTAGGTTGGTCTAAACTAGATTTTGTTTTGTACAATCGAATTTTTTTTAACATTTCCGTATTTTTGACTACCGTAATCCTTATTTCGTATTTTCGTAAATAAAATGTGTTTATTCAAGTTTATTTTTATTTTTTGGTTCATTTCTCAGAAGACCTTTAGGACAATGGCGCGAAAAGCAATAGCTTCTAACAAGATTTAAGACTAAAATATTTTATATAACATCCCCATCTTTTTTATTTTCCTTCTCGACCAATACACAATTATACGAGAGTATTATTGGAAAAAAAGAAGAAACCAAAATCATAGGAATCTAGCCTTTAGTAAAGTTTGTTATGTTCGTTACGTTTACAATAAAAATCCTTCGTTATACAAGAACTGGATGAATAATGTATTTGAATTTTTCATTCCGCGCTATTACAATTCATTGAGCGATATATCTGATAACTGCACGGGCTAACAGCACGCAATCATCGATATTGGAGCAATAAACTGCAGAAACGAGGTCACAGCGACGAATATCATCCGTCAATTTTATTTATTTACCCGATTAGGTTGATTATTGGCTATTTTCAGTAATTTAAAGACAACAAGTTTTCACGCAGAATTAAAAAAAAAAACAAATACAAGTAGCCTATGTGTCCTTCCAGACTATCCTCTATATATATCCAAAATTTCATCGAATTCCTTTCAACCGTTTAGGCTACAAAATCTAACATATATAAGTATGTTACTAGTAAGTATGTACTTTCATCCAAAAGAAATTCTACTAAGAATTAAAGACAACGAAATAATAATATGTCGATGTGTGAGAAGAAGTAAATCGTCTATTTAACAAAATCACCGTAGATATAGGAAGGAAGAGCTCTTTTGTGTATCGCGTAAGCAATTGTACAAATTGAGCGCAGTCGGGCGGCGGCGGGACGCGGAACAAATGACGCGTGAAAATTGTCTCGGATACAGAGCTCGTGAGTTATTCTATATGATACTTGATTCGACTTCTTTGTACGTGATTCAAAGCAATCGATATTTAACAATGTTATATAACGATGCTTTTAGTGTGAAAATATTATTTAAATGTGATCTCATACAACACTAGCTGTTGCTCGCGACATCGCCGGCGTGAAATTTAAAAAAAATAATAAAAAACGGCCTATGTTACTCACAGATAAATTAACTTTCTAAAGGTGAAAGAATTTTTTAAATCGGCCCAGTAGTTTTTACCTGAATAGAATACATACAAAATACGAAAATACAAATCTTTCCTCTTCATAATATTAGTATAGATTATAACTTGACCGAGATTTTTTTTTTACCATCATGACCTTTAATTCACTATTACCAATAAAACATTTGTATTTCTGCATAGAAATGGGATGGTGTTTAAGTTAGCCGACATCTGTTTAATGAAGTAGTTAGAAAACTGCCTTTTGTTGGTTTTAGCCTTATAGGGCGTTATCATCGCTTCGCGACAAAGCCCCCTGAAAAAAGAAATAAAAGAAGAAATGATAATCCCAAATTATTATTTTAGTTATGACTGTCTGGGTAAGATTGTGTAAGAAGGCATATATCAATTTTATGGATTCATAAATATATAGATCGGACAGGACATACTGGGTGTATGTTAATATCAAGTCATTAAAAAGTTTTTATATATTTTTGAACAGAAAATAGTGTATTCACGAAAAGCATTGCAATTTAAAGCTAATACAAGCATATGCATTGTGAGTACTATTTCACAACGTTAGGACAGTACCCTCTGACATAATAATAGGTCTGCGAGTTATGACGCTACCAGGCCAGAGACAATGGACTGCATGAATAAAATATACCGAAAGCAGGCCACCTTCTACATCGCATACTGTTGCATTTTACATATGCATACTGAAACTTCCATTACCTCTCCGTTTAACTCATACTCTATGCGTGATTTTTTTTATTCTATCCTAGTGTTATTGTAAAAGCATATGTATGAATTTTAAATATGGAACAATTTGAAAATGATTTTATGAATATTTTATTTAAGAAAAACATGTCATTGTATACCATTAGTAATAAATATAGTAGTAGAGTGTAGATTATCTTGTAGTCATGTAAATGAAACCAATTATTTTATGGTACAGAGTTTATTTTCGTAATATAAACACACTATCTGTCCAATAATATTTACAAAACGTTCGAGATTCATTATTCTTCGTTACTTAAAGATGATGAATTCATTTAAATCACTGGAAATAAGGAGTTTATAAATTTTATAGGTTTCTTAGGTTATTGATAATGCGGAAATGTACAATTTTCCATGTTTTTAAAGTACCGTTATCGAAAACGACAAATTGTTGTCAAAGTAACAAAGAAAAGCAAATACTTTGCCACTCATCAACGACTATGAGTATATTTTAGTTATCGTCAAAGTTTTAACTACAGTCACAAGTATTAATAATTATCCAGTTAGCCTAAAATTTGATATTTCCATTTAAAAATAATCTAATAAATGTTTTAAATTAGATCAATTATTAATATTCATAACTATATTTTTAATGTACAATTTTCTTCATCATTTAATGATGGTTTATGCATTTTTTCTACATCAAGCGTAAACATTTTTTTTTTACATTTTACACATTTTGTCTTTAAATCAATAAAAATTGTCTACATATAACAATGACAGCACACAAACTGTCTGTTTTACTAAAACAAAGTATATCAATTGCGGTGTAGAATTTCATAGTACATATTAATTTAATTATTGAATTTAATGCCGTAGTTAAAAGCAAAGCCAGATACTGTTTCATGTCTACAAATTGTATGAAAAGTTTTATATTACGTCAATTGTTTTAAAAGTAAGCATCATTCTATTTACAAAATATAGAGCACGGAATAACTATCTTTAAAGTGCCACAGATAAAGTTGTAATAACTCTATTACAAATGTTTCTTCCATTACAGATCTCACAAGTTTTTTTTTAAACAAATACGGTAAGCAAAAGCGAATTTAGCTAATAATTTACCTTTTGTTCAAAGAGGTTTCATGCAATTCATGGAATTACATTTGTTAACAGCGTACTCCTTAGGCCCTTGATAAATCCCCACCAGATAATTCCCTACATATATTTATTGCCATTTCATTTAATATATAAAAGTATAATACATAACTCTTTCAAAGAATAGTACAATATATAAATAATGCAACGAGATGATCGCATTAACTTAAAACACTAATTCTGTATCACATAACATTATTCGATTAAATTATGACTTAATTATTACCATAAATTATAATATTCGTAACATTAATATGGCAACAAAACATGTCTCCTAGCTAAGCACCTAGACCAGTAGGATTTTAGGTATTTACACATCTGTACAGGACACCCATATTACCTCATCTCATCACTAATCGTTATACTCTTCTCATAATAAATTTATTGCCAATCAACTATAGTTTAACAATTATTAAAGATCTTTAAATAATAATATCATATTATCCCGAAATTATCTCCACAACGTACCTATAAATGCAGAAGTTAAAGGCTTCTGTTAAAAAGTACATTTATATAACTATCCACTACATTCGATTTAGAAAAATATGTACAAAAACCAATATAATATAGTAAACACATGATATGCACTGTACAATTGCAGACTTTAGAATGATATAAGATCTTCAAACGTCTATCGTTTGCTTTTATATAAACCCTACATGTACATTATAAAAGGAAAGCTTGCGACGGACTTAAACTAGTTTAAGACTAGCTACAGTAGGGTTTATTCTACAATTCGAATACTCTTTTATAAATAAACCGATCGCGTGTCTTTTATTTCGCTACTACTAAAGTCCGATACACACCGCGCGCTGATATAATCGTAGGCTGCGTGGGTCTGAGCCCAGAACTGTGTCACAAGGTTCAAAGGGTAGCTTAGAAGCTGGTGATACGTAAGATGGCCACGACGAATGTAAGCGCGAGCAAAGGTTGTGTACGAGTGCCCGCTGATGTCTTTTCCGTCGAAGAATACGTGTTTTCTTCTCTGACGAATGTCTTGCTCCCTGTTAAAATAATAATCATTATAAATATCAACGCATTAACATAAATTTTAACCTTATAGTTTCACAACGGTGTTTGTTTCTAACGTGATTTTCATATAAAAATGGCTTAATTAAAAACTAGGTTATAATATGCATCCGAAGTAATAATGTTTTGAAATGCATTTTTATCCGGACTTTGACTCCGTACAAAGTTTAGCAAACATGTTCGCAATGCTGAAAACATGGTTGAAAGTTTACGCAAACTTCCTACAGCGCGCAACTTGTGCACCGCATGTTAAGCATCATACGAATGCATAAAACAATAATGTTAAGTATAGTTTTACTAATTTATTTCTGTACGCCAGCAGTACGTCGTGTATTTAATGTTCATGGATATACTTGAATGTGCTTACTTCGTTATTTATTTTGAAATGAAAGGTATATTTACAGAAGGACAAACAAAAATTACTGTTAACTCTAGCTCTAACCATATCCAGATTAGGTGGTTTTCGCTGTCGTATTGTTTCAATATTTCTCGATCTATAATTGTATGTGTCAATGTAGTCACTCTTCCAAGTACTCACCGACATCCTGAGCCCCCGAACCCTCCTCGCCGGAGCCTTCAGCATCATATGCCGCGTCATCATCCGTGTAGCTCCTGCCCGAGCCTGAACCCTCGTCTCCTGCTTCGTCACCCTGCATGAAAGCTTCAGCCGCTGGCGCAGCGCCCCACGAGTGGGAGACTAGCAACTGTTGGAATAGATACCTTTGAAGTCTCCTTACTTAATGTGCCCTGTTCTTCTATACATCGTTAAAGTTAAGAGAATAAAATGTCAGTTGCAAATGATCAGAGAAATGTTGGCAATAAAAGTACTGCTCATTATCACCGTCACACAAAAACTTTCGATAGATGAGGTGACAAAAAGCTACGTAATAAGACATGCAACAGACGCGTCATCTAGAGTCGTTAGTTCGATATTATTCACAAACTGGTTTACGCTTTATTATATCGTGATATCACTGTTCACAAAAAACTAATTTATTTTCCTGCAGCTGTAAACTTGACGAGATTAAATGATTGGAATATATTGGCTAAAGTAATAGGGGAAAATCCAATTACTGGCAATAAGTTTGCTTTATGATGGTGTTACTCTGTTCAAACAAATATTATTTCAATTCTAACGGTAAACGCTTGTTAAATAAGCTTAGATGCAGTTTATTCAGTAAAGTATTAAAGTGGTGGTATTATTACATCAAAGAGTATAAACCTTTTAATATTTATCATACATACCTGTCTCGCTTGTCGCAGTTTGTCTCCCAAAGCGGCTACTCTTGAATCCTGCTTTACGCCGGACGTTATCTCGGGATTGTATTTTTGATCGCTATTCGATGCTGAAGCCACCAACGGTTTCGTGTATCTGCACAAAATAAAACCATTTAAATATTCGCCATATATTGGCTTATAATTTTCACTACTTATTGGGTTTATTGGATTCAAAGTTGCAATTGGAGCCGATTTTCTGTATTATTGGTTTGTTTTTTTAACACATCTTTCACGATTACAAGAAATCTTGTGCATGTGATTTTAAACATAAACAAAGAAAGCCCTTTTTAGAATGTTCGTCGATATTTGGTAAGGATACTTACTCTCCAACAGTTTCGCCGTTCCAACATTCTGTATTCCCTTCGGTAGCGAATTCAGGTTCATCGCACAGCTTATCAGCTAAGCCGGAGAAGAGTTTCTTGCTGGCGGCGAGCGTGGCAGCGAACTGCAGGAGTTCAGTGTCTGGTGGCGGTGCGCGCAGGGCGTCACGTCTCGCCGCTCCCGGTGTAGGAGTCGGCGCTGTGAGACCGGAAACATCTAACGTAGTTGGAGATCCACATTCTTGACGGACCTATAGACAAAAAGAATAGATGTTTAACACTTTATAAACTATAGCATAAATGTTGTGCGATTGTCAATTGTTTCGCAGGCAATTCAACTGTTTCTCTGCACAACTAAATATCGAGTAGTATGTGCATCTGTATATAAGCTCACAGGAATCAAGAGAGACTAAATAGTTGTGCGATAGTTTAGTTTCAGGGATGCGCATGCTCTTAAAATGGTATTGAACTTACAAAGGCAATTGTTTCACGATATTTAATACATAATTTTCCAATGATTTAGTTTGATTCGTGACAAAAGTAGTAGTTATTTTAAAGTACTTTTATAGATAATTGTTGGAATAATTTTAATTCACATCAGACTTACTGCTTCTCATTGTTTCTAAAAATAGTTGTGTTGATCCCAAGATCATTTATCATCCTTTGGCACGTTGGAACAATGCTATCTTCTTAGGAATCAATTGAGTTATTGTGTTGCATCGAGGAATGTGTTCAGATAGAAATCGTGGTATATTGCAGACGTGTCGATGATTAACTAACGAGCGGTAAGTGGTGTGATTTGTTGGTCGCCGCGGGGTGCGGGATGCGGGGAGCGGACTGTGGGGAACGCGAATATTATCAGCGCGAGATCGGTATTCGTGCGGAAATAGCGCACGCCCGTACCCGCACCGGCGACTCTACCACTAATGTTGCTAGCTTATATTCAAATTTACCAATTAATTAATAATTATTCATATAGAAAGGTGAATAATATGTGTTTACGATTCATACAATATGAAAAAATTAAATTCTTTATAAAGATTTGTAACAAGGTTTACAAATTTAATCACTACATTTTAATATAATATAACTGAAAGAGAAATAATTCTTTTTACGCCATTTTGTTATCACATAAAGGGAATTACTTAGATACTATGATAAAACTTAAATAAAATTTAACAATACAATCTGTGACAAACGAAACAGCTGTTTAAGCTCGTTAAGTCGTCAACTTCGTCTCAAAATTAACTTCGTTTTTAATAAGATAAAGCGGAATAGAAAAGATTTTTCTTTTCTTAAAAAAGGTTTGCATCTGCCTTAATTGTGATAAGGGTATCTTCGTCTTTTAGTTGTTTAATAATCAGTACAGTAGTATTTTTTTTTGTGAAACAAAGAGTGACATATTTTAGTATTTTTAAATTGTTTTACTATCCATATTACCAAAAATCTATTGAAAACTACATTATTGAATCATTAGGTTTATAAATTTCAATTTTCATAATTTTACAACTAGGGTGCAACGTAAATGTCGATATAACTAGCACCCTGTAGTGCCTAATTAATTTAACAAGCGGAAGAGAATTTTAACTTCGAAATTTAAAATAAAAATTTAATATTTCATATCAAACAATGTGCAGCAATTTTCCAGCCTGTTTAAGGTAATGGGGTGAGGAATTAACTGGCAACTCTATAACCGTGTGAACGCCCGCAGCGACTCGCGACACACGCAAATAAACTACAAAGAGCAGGCCCTGCGTCCGACGCAAATAGTCGCATACTCTCTACTGCAATAACTACTAATGTAATTATTATAAAAAAGCAGTACTCGCTACTTCTTTGTAGAATTCTTGGCAATTTGGTATATAATTAGGTCCTTTGTAGATAAATTCCGACACTAATTACTCAACCGAGAGGAAGTTCACGGCCGAGTCGTACGAGTTCAGTTCCATTTTGCACTTCCCATTCTTAATTAGTGTGAATTAAAATTATGTTACTGCTATTCTGCTAATGAATAGCTTTAAGACGAGTTGAACAAATGTTAAATGTAAGTTATAATAAAAAGTTTATTCTAAACATTTATTTATAACTTCGCAATTCAACATAAGGCAGATTTCACGTGTATTTCTAAGTTAAAACATACAAATAAAGCCGTGCGTAAAACGTTTTTTATATATTTTATTCAGTTTTTGCTTACAAACTGAACTCAATAAATGTAAAGATGCCCCTGGCTAAATACAGTAAATATTCATTAGTGCCAGTCTTTTGCACGACTGTGACCGGATTGTATCGCATTCGATAAAAAGTTTCAACTTATATAAAAACTTTTTGCTTATACGGCCAGTCGCAACACTGGCCAGTAATTACGAGTATAAAGGAAGTTATAGATAATATACGGCAAATCGGGAAAACGACACCCCGGGCAACGTTTGGTACGAATGAACTTACAATAAGATTGATAACTTGTTATAAATTATTAGACTTTATCCACATTTTATTCGAATATTTAAGTTTAATATACTTAAAATTGTATTATAAATAAGATTTTATGTTAAGAATTATTGCATAAAAATTATTGAAACTAACTTCGATTTCATTTTGTCACAATTTGGTTTATTTTTAAAACGATGCATACGTCGTACAAATGCCCCAGGCTATTACTATTATATAATATTTGATGTTTTAGCTTTGAAAAGAAAGTGTTACGTGCAACAACAGGGGTTGAATTTTAAAAATACAACTTCAATCGTAACTCAATTAATTCATTGTTTTGCGATAATAGTTCTAGTCTGTGATTGAAATACGCGATAGATAATTAATTTTACGCAGGGCCTCTACGCATAATCTGTGCGAATAATTAAACATCCTTTACGTATCGAATGAGTAACGCCATTGTTCGTTGTTTAATTACATTAATTGTAACATCAGCCGGGCTTTGTTCGTGTCCTTGGTGAGTCACGTCATATATCACTTTATCCGGATGCTTTGACATTCAAAAATTAAGAGCGTTAAGTTATACAGACAATGATGAATGGGAATTGCCAAAGGTGATAGAGGTCGACGCATGTTTTAATATGGAACGTTTGCTGGTTTTATTTATACTTGTATTATAAAGAGGAAAGATTTGTATTTTTGTATGTAATAAAATAACTTAAAAACTACTGAACCGATTTCAAAATTCTTACCATTACTATGCTACGTCATCATTGAGTGAACATAGGATATATATTTTTTTAATTTCACGCAGTCGAAGTCGGGAGCAACAACAAGTTCTTTTGACTCTCACGTAAACTTTATGTAGGTAGGGATATGAAAGGTTCCTTAAACGTATGACGTCCTATCTCAAGAGTTTTTGTTTAACGGGAAAAGTTTCAAAACAAAAAGGCTTCTTAACATCATTTTCTGGCATAAGACCGCTAGTATTCGAACGTTAATCATGATGGAGAAAACCTGTCAAAGTTCATACAACCATCAATCGATGTACTATTAAAATAAACACAAATAAATCGCGTGGGCGATTGTTAAGTGACCATAATCAAAGTGTACTTTAATCGATTAGCTGACATCCGTACTTACGTAATGTCGATTAACGTAACTGCAATCATTTAATATTGACAGCCGCTTCCCAAGATTCAACTTATAATATTATATATTGATAATTATTAAAATATTAATAAAATGTGTTCAGTTTTCATGTTAAATAATAACAATATACTTAATCCAAACATAACTAGAGCTTATAAAAGAAGAAAGGGGATAAAACCGTAAGCGTTTAAAAATACGATACCTTTCGAATTCCCACTGACGGATGGAAAATTCTAAATAAAACAATATTATTTCAAATTCGAGCCAAGACCGGTAAAAGCTACAGAAAATAAAAAAAGAACTTTGTTGTAATTTTAAAACTCAACATAAATATACTCAGTTTGTTTGTTGTTTTGCCAATTTCTTAAGAATAATATTTTCTAACGCAAGAAACAGCGCGGGTCAACTTTAAAGGGGTAAAAGTTGAAAACCGTTCAAACTTGGATCCAATAAAGGATATTAAAATAATAACAGAGGGAACATTTTTACAGGATGTCCACGTCTAGTCTTACTTTGCTACTATGCAGGGTAATAAGTATGTTCCTCATTTAGCAATGACTTCTGTAAAAGCAGGTACAATTTCTTCGTCCAGATGTCCAGAAAATCCAGACTCTCTAATTACTTTAATTAATTTCACTCTACTTTTTGTAAGGTACTCTATAAAAGTTTTAATTTTTATAATGGAGAAAGTGAATCCTACTTAAACACTAAAGGTATAGATTTATTACAATGTCTTCATTAATTCTTCCTGTAAATTGGAACCGTGTTACATAATAATTTAGTCGACAGTTTATTTCGAAAACTTCTCAAGTTTCGTTGATTGTAAATCGCGTAGGCTCAGCGTATCTACGAGCAAACGCGACTCGTCGAGGAATGCTTGACCTTTATGGGCAATAATAAATTGTGCGCCGGTAACGAACGGCGTCTACACGCAATCATTTGAACTCTGAATACTTGGAATTTACACAATGATGTCGCTATGATAATTTTATTGTTCAAAAGACAACCGGATGCCGGTTTATTGCCGGTGTTAAGGCGCTAAACTGTTTCTGTCCGCACTAGGCACGTCGCCGAACACCGCGCTGCGTGTCTATCCTGATTAATTCCGATGTGGTGCATGCTTTAATTGCTTAATGATTCTATTTATAAGATTTATTGTTTATTTATTATGCAGGAGATTAGTACTTGTGTACATCTAATAAATTTTACAGTAAGCTTAAAGGTTTTAATTATAGATTATTCGGAAATTTGACACAATACTTATAAAATAATTAATATAATAATATAGAATTACATATTATTAAACAACAAAAAATTATCATAGAAGAAAAATTGCCGTTGTAGACTAACATATGATAATATTCTGTATGTCACCCACTAGTGGGAAACAATAAATTAATTCTATTACATTAAAACAATTAATCAAATTGGAAAGAATGTCTCGTTTAAATGTATAATAGACTAGCGTAATATATGGGACATCTAACACAGAGCGAACCGTACGTAAGAATTAAAATAACGATAAAAATTCGTTTCAATGAAATACAAAACAACCCGCCTGCGATAAATCTTCGAGTTCTTTCAATTGGATGAACCCATTTGTTCAATTAGTTCATGCAACAGCGATAGCGTGATTGCAGCAAGATTTCCGACTCTAAGTAGTACCAAAACTATGACAAGTAAATAAAACTGTACTTCAATCCATAGTTAATTACTTTTTGACTGACTTCCCAAAAGAAGGAGGTATTCTATTTTAAAGGTCAATGGTTTTTTTTATTATAATTCTTCTGTAAATGTATTGTCTCATAACAAATTACTTAGTACAGGTGACAATTATGTGGTAATAAAAGACACTGGTCTGTTCATCAATTTGTGTACCGATACAATGGACCCATCCAAGTTCCACAAGTCGTTGCGTATCGCTTTCAAAATTCAAAATGATACATACAGCTATTAAAATTCAAATATCTCAATAACAAAAACGGTAGTCGATGCTTGAACTTATCGCGGTTGTAAAGAAAGTATCTAAGTTCAATAAATAAGTGTGATGCTGCAATATATCAATAAATTGCGTCTCCGAGTGGTGTCTACGAAAGTCTCGGCGGCGCGTGCGCGTGGGCGTGGGTCATGACCCAAGGCACGAGCGGTCATGCTGCCCACGCGCACCGGTACATTCAGTCGGTATAATATGGTGCAAGTTTTTAATGTACTTGGGATTTCAAATTTTCCACTTTGTTATTCAAAGAAACATTACTAAAAAATCTTATAAAGTTTTTACAAGTATATATGTATGTATAGGAAGTTCAATTCAATTTGGCGCATGGTATTGTATACGCACACGCGGTAGATTGTTTGCAGGATATTTACAATTCTTTGACAAAAAGTATACATACGCATACCACCGAGAGTCATCATACCAACGTCAATGTTTACATTCCATTATGAGCGTGATCGAGTAAATGTTTATTTTTAAGTGTCTCATTTTTTATCAGTGGGAATTCATATTTCAAAAACCTAGCGAAAACACGGATAGATTGATGTAGACTGGCTTAAAAAAAGATTGACGTAAATAATTCCGAAAATTAATAAGCTTAACAATAATAAAAAATATTAATAGGCTTGTCCGCTTCAGCTTAAGACTTGTCCCTCTATCGTCTTCCGCGAGGTGAAAGCTCACCGCGTGGGCAGGCGCCAGCGAACGCACTCCAACTTGACGGAGTAAGACACTACCCTCGAAGAACTTAAGACCGATACGAGATCACTGAACATTAACTAAATTTGAATTGAATTAAAAAGTCAATTAAGAATCTAATTAGTCTGGGAAATTAACACGTTAAAATAAATCGACTACTAAGTTAATTGTGTTTATTACGATAATTAAATTTTAAATTCATCAATTTCGTTTCATGCATTTACGTTGTCGAATTAAGATAAAATTACATGTAATAGATATAGCAGTAGATTGAGGTTGCATTAAATAGCTTCCAATGTGTAGGTAGATCGAAAAGAGTATGCATGAATTGCGTGAGAAGAAATGCACAAGAAGGGAGTGAAATCATTAAGTAATCTGATTAGATGTATGAAAGAGCAGTACATGCAAGGCCGACACTCCGTAGGGCACGCTGATATTTAGAAACAAAAAATGCAATAGTTTTTTTTTGTAAACCACTTGTTTCTCGCTTTAATCTTTGAGGAAGACTTCTTAAATATTTCACAGTATTCAGTATTAAAAACGGACTAACGAGGAATTGTCTCTGCCAAAAGTAAAATAGAAGTGAGACTGTAAGGTGCATCAGCGCCGAGTCGTTACGACAACTTGACACGGTTCCATTGGCAGGAAGTCTTTACGACGGTGCGCGAAAAGGAACTTTTCTTTAACGTTTCACACAAAGCTGCAAAACGAGAGATTTTGTGAAAAGATCTAACGTTTATGTCGAATCAAGACGTTAACGTTTGCATTTATTTTGCATTTGAAATAGTTATGACGAATGATATTGGTAGCCTATGGAGCATTTTATAATTTGTTAAAACTGATGTTAGACTCCGATTGAGAGCTTATCTTAAAACGGTTTATTGTTAAATATCTTGTTTCGAAATTCGATTAAATAATCGAAATACCCAAATGGTCTGTTGTTCCAATTCAATATAATTCATGTTTAAACATAAACACTCATTTATTCAACTTGAATGAACTTTAATAAATAAACATTTTTCCTCAAAAATAAATTGGTTTTCGGCATTCATTAATACTTCAAAACTTGATTACTTCTTAGGCGTTATTAAATGGGGAACGAAGAAAAAAGTAGCGAGCGTAACGGATCCATTTTCCATTATTTTAAAGGCTGAGAATCTAAAATTTATTCACAAAGTTTCTGAGATGAAAGTAAATTGAATTCGGGCCGATTGAACGCGGCCGCAAAACTCGAAGCAGTGCTTTTACTATGAAAATTGAAAGTCAACATTTCTCTAGATTTCTGAATTTCAACTTTAGAATTTAAAATACTTCGTTAACTTATAGACGTAAAATGTAATCAAGCCTGCAACGTAAAGTTATAACATGTACATGTTTTTCTAACAATTCTACCTCATCTTTTATTTTATGGATTGATTCACATGTCTAAATGACAACTAGGCAATGTTTAGATACAGAGTTTTAGCGACACACTACACCAAATACGAACCTAGAGTTCATTCATTGGAACCATTTACGTAACAACGAATCGGACGTTGCCTAAAACGGAAACGTTGTCCTTGGAAACTGTATGACATAAGCATTTAGTAACATTACTTATGACTCAACGGGATGTCTGTGTTTTGTCTGCCCATTAACTATTTATATAATTTCCTTCGTTTTTGCTTTAATTATACGAGTATGATATGTCTGCGACTCACGTGTACTTTTCTTAGACTTCTATCATCATCATCTAAAATGTTTAATAACCTAGTTATTGTAAAACTAGTACTATTTTCCGTTTTATTGCAGCCAAGAATGATTTAAACTACTAGGGATTTTATTTAATTTAGTATGGAGTTTGAATTATGCTCTCTATTCTAGCTTTTGGTATGGGTATAATTGTGTTAAAAAGTTTGCTTAAACGTTGAGACTCGATTCCCTGTTAACTAGGTTAATTAGTAGAGAACGCCTAGACTGAAGTGTTTATAATAAAGTTTAAATAAATACAGAAGCCGTAAGTAAACGACAAATTAATTCATTACTAAATTAATAAACAAGTACATATTTATCCCATTAAGTTAGAGTGGTAGACAGTGATTATGAATCTATATTTATTGTGATTTTAGCACGTTTTTCTAGAACTACCATTCTCGTCCGGTTAATTTAAGTCCTCTACCATGTGTAAATGTTTGTACTACGTTTTTCGTGACATTAATATGCTTAACTTCACCACCGAAGTCCTTAACCGGCTGTTTCTTGCATTCTATTAATTTTTATACTCATATTAAGTTACAAGATACACTGTAGTATCAAATGCAACTGCATATAAATTACACGCAGGAAATTGTTTATTAAAACAGTGGCTTGCAAATATCTCGTCCAATAGTCGTAAAGTAAACTAAGCTGGGTGTTTACGATATCCATTTGCTCTAGCTGCCAGAATAAGCTACGATTTTACGAGCCTTTCTATTTGCACGGACCCAAGATACAATTTTACAAGTTTATTAACTGTACCCGTATAAGTTATTACACCCATAGCAATTATTTTTCAACCTACTATATTTGAATTTATTCAAGACTCCTGCTAAAGTTAGAGAAATATTGCTTTACACTTATCTATGTTTTCGTTTATTAAAATAATTATTTTAAACAATACTAATTTGTAATCCTTCGACGGTACTCAGTACGCAACATATTTCGCCTACTCTTTGCATGTGCAACTAATAATGTTAATCGAATCGTTTCGAATCTAAAACCATTGAAGGCAAAAACACCTGCGAACAGTCGACGCCCACGTGTGACCTATGTTGTCGCAATATCGCTGTTTGACTCATTCAATCCACTTTTACGACCCCCTAACACCGAGTGAAACTAATCTACGAATACGTTCGACTTTACGACATTTGGATGGACCGCAAAGTAAACGTGTGCGGAACTTTTATTACTGGGAAAGCTGAATGCAAATGCTGTAAAGGCTACGTAAAGGCGATAACCGGAAAATAATTGAATCGTACCACTAAATGGAATTCGAAACGTCCGTGGCACGAAGCCAAACTGTGGGACAGTACTCAGCACTATATAACTTTATATTCCGCGTTGACGTGTCCCGCGAAACTTTAGTAGTGCGACTCCGATGAGATACCGTGGTACGAGGCGCGCGGTTCGATGAACTTAAAGGCGATTTAATGCTAAAATAGCGTGCGAAATGCGCAACTTCTATTAACTGCCAGTACGCCAGTATATCAAACAAAATTATAGCGAGTCATTGTGGAGTCGAGGCCGTAACTTGGCTGACTAGAAAATTATCTTGTTCAGCAGAAGCGGAGCACCTGTCAATATATCTTGTGTGACGTAAACCTTTCTAGAAGCCGAGCCGGCTCGGATTTAAATGATGGATGTGGGCTTGAATTATTTGAAGGTAGAATTTATGACTTTGTTTACAATTCTATAGAAAAAAGACCTTATAATACTGACGTATTTTTTCATTTGAA